TTTACTAATCAGGTGGTTATATTAAGGGCGGGCGTGGGAGAAATTTAAACGTAGAGTCATCAAACAGTTAGCTAATAGATGTTAGTAACAAGATATCTAAGTTTTGAAGGAAAGAGGAGTGAAAATAATTATAGAGTTCAAGATAAATTAATTCATAGGCGTTAGCGACGAGTTATAACATGGTTAAGAAAACAGATAGTGTTGCCATGGTATCGTCACTTGACCTAATCCTAGCGAAAGTAGAGAATGGTCCTCTTAAAAAAGATCTAATATATAATCATGAGATTTCTACTGCCGATAAGTCTATGAAGCACATTTATAGTTGTGAAGAAAGAAAGTGAGACTAAGAACATAATGGATAAATTTATTAAAGCACCTCCTGACGTAAGCTTCACTAAAAAAGAGGAAGAAAATGACTCTGTCTCCTCTCTGCACATCCTAATGACTAAGAGGATACGCGGAACACTACGTAGACGTTTACATCGGAAATCTATTTCCACTGGACAGCATATTCACTTCTTGAGTTTCATACCTCTACAATACAGATTACGTAATTTGGTGAGATGTCTGGTTCTTTGGACTAGAGTTTATCTATTCAAATGAGACGCTGAATGAAGAACTCGGTAATATTCGTGATCTGCTAAGTAGAAATGGATAACCAACCAAATTCATGGACAAACACATGATCTCAGAAAGTCAAATGTCGAAGGTGTCGACGTTAACTGATCTTGAATTCCTTAATTAGTATTCACTCCTCCCTCCTTCATAACTTGGATATCTTGTTACCGACATCTATTAGTTAATTAGTTTTATGACTTTTCGCCTCTTCATTTCATCTCATCTCCAACCATCTTAGACCATCGATTCACTGTGCACTGTGATGGTGAGCCACCCAGTGGAATGGTGGCCACATAGCAAACTTGAATGACGAGATATGTATTCGGTCTGCACCAAAGATAAGACTAGACACCCACCCAAACATTACACTAGTTACTGACTAGTGTGCAATAAAAAATAATCTCCAACACAGTCCTACATGAGGTTAATCGCGAGCCCAAATAACTCCGTAGTGGTCACCTCTCTCTTACTTTAGGAGGCTCTAATTGACGCGGGTTCGAATCTCGCAAAGCATATAAGTTCCTTCAAGCTGGTTGCAGATACAAGACCTAGATCAAGCAAGGCTTCAGGTCGATTGCCTCTAACCACCCCCCAGCATATCAACAATTCACAGTGCACTATGACGGTGACCCATTTAGTGTCACATAGAGTGGCCACGTTGCAAACTTGACTGACCGATAGGTGAATTCAGTCTGCACCAAAGATACGACTACAAACACACCCACACACACACTATACTAGTTACTAACTAGTGTTCATAATGCAAAAATTACTTCTTCTCGTTATACCTAAAACTGAATCACTAAAATAACCACTTAATTTGTAAAAAAAAATTTTCATATGAAAAAGAGAAGACGTTCAGCAAAGAGACTCTTTTCGGTGGCGAATTCATTCACATAGCGCTGTACAATCGCATTTATATATGATTATTTGTGTGTGTGTATGTGTATGTACATGAGGTTTGTCAAGTTTAGATAATTGATCAAGTAATACAAGAATGATCTAATATAGAAACAAGGTTAATTGGGCAGCAACTAAAGGAAGATTGGGTTAGACGTAATATAATTGACTAAAATGTTTCAACCTTGGGTCAGGGTAGCAACAGAGGTAATTGCAGGTAGAGACTAAGTAGAAGTGGGGTGAATAATAATGCCATTTAAATTAGAACTGAAATTGAGCAATTAAGTTGGATGACGTAACATAAATGAATAGAAATTGAGCGTTGGTCAGGTCAATTAAAGTGGTAGTGAGGTGTAGAAATTAAATCGGGTGGGGATAGAGAACAAGAAAGTTGAAAATGCAAAATATTACAATTGAGAAGACAAAATAATACTCATGAAGAGACAGAAAAAAAAGATCAGGTACAATTTACTTTTCAGGTAATCAGATAGATTACATCCATTGCAAGTGTAGTGATTGAACGAACTTCTTCTGTATGCAGAGTTCAGGGCTTAGCAAGTGAATCGCCATTGCTTCTGCAATTTGAAGAAGTCTGATTCGTGCACCTTTAGGAAGAATTCTTCTTACTCTGTAGACTACTTTGAAGTTTGTTTGGGATGCAGCTTGGTGTCCGGATTCTATCAGATGTTCTAAGATGGAGCAGCGGGGACATCGTTTTTCTCCATTGTAAAACCATGTTGGTAAGTGTTCAATGATATGTTTGGAACGCTGGGTACGGCCGACATACCTGGCACCACACGAGCAGGTGAATTTAATATATGTGTAAAACTTGGGCACTGTGGTAGTAACTAATTCCATATTAGTTTGTTTATTAGATGTATCACACAGTGAAACAATGTTGTATACTGGATGACGTTTTGAACACAATTTATTGTTCATAATCATATCAATTGTGATATGATATGATTATGAACAATACATTGTGTTCGAAACGCCATCCAGTATACAATATTGTTTCACTGTGTGATACATCTAATAAACAAACTAATATGAAAGCAGGTGAATTGATAAATACACATTGATGAGGCCAACAGCGGTAGCTTATCCTTCACGTTCACATGAATCATAAGTTTTGGGGAGAAAATTAGTCATAGTTCAGCTGCGAAGAAGGTCTTCTTGAGTGAGCGCGACAGTTGATTTTTTAGTATTTCCGCAGATATATTTGAATTGAATTGAAGGTTCATGTAGAGTGGTTTCTTCGGGACGGTAAGCATAGGCGGCTTTCGTGGTCTATCATTCATAGATTTTGCAGTAAATTGTTCTGGGTAACAATTCTAGACGAGGACTCTCTTGAGATTGTCCAGTTCATCTTCTACGGTGTCCGGGGTAAAAAATTACTATTATTATATTATTATTATTATTATATTTGTAAAGTCTCAGCGATATTGAAATGAGTAATTCCAACGTTTCGTTCGGCAATCTGGTTCTAATTTCTCCAGGGAAATTAATCGAAATTAACATAACAGAGGTTTATATATAAAAGGAGCATCTCTTGTTTTTTAAAAAAACTTTGTCCAATCATGAATCATAAGACAAGTATAATAAACAAAATTGTATGACAGAATAGTTCTAAATTATTTGAGCACCGAGTGAGAAGTAGACATTTGTAAAAAGTTATATTTGTAAAATCTCAGCAATATTGAAATGAGTAGTTCCAACTTCTTCCCTGAAGAAGTTCGGACCAGATTGCCGAACGAAACGTTGGAATTACTCGTTTCAATATCGCTGAGATTTTACAAATATAATTTTTTATAAAATTGTATGAGTTGTGATCAAAATTTGACCTCAGACTTACAAATATTGGTCTACCTTCGTTAAATACTTTAAACACAGGGTGTATTTGTGTGTGTGTGTGTGTGTGGAGGGGGGGTAAAATAGCTGTAAAACATTTTGTAACCTCCCCATAAGGAGATATAGACAATCGGGAATTTCGACCAAGTATTGTTAATTAGTGATACATATCCATTTTTATTTATTTATTAATCAGGATTTCCTATGCATCAGCTAACACACGTCACACCTTCATGTCTGTTCAAACTGTTAGTATCTAGAATTCTATGATTAGACGTATTTTCAAAATTATGGTGTTTAGGATTAGAGTTTAGTTGAAGAGCACCCTATCGAACTTATTGCTTTGTCTTATTCTTTCTGAATATTGAGCTGGTTTATTCGACCTACTGGAGAGTTGTCAATTGGTGACTGGACAGCTACGGATGGATTTAGGATATGCATAATTCTGTTGCAGACAACAGAGAGTGAAAACACAATGATGATAGTGTCAATTACATATAGTTTCTTTGTTAATTTAATTTGATTGCAATATAAATCAAATGAACTGTCGTCAAGATTTGACGGAATAGCTCTAAGATATTTGGGCACCGATGAGAAGTAGACATTTGTTAAAAATTATATTTGTAAAATCTCAGCGAGGTTGAAATCAGTAATTCCAAAGTTATGGTACAACTATTTCAAGTGTTTAACAAAGGTGGACCACTATTTGTATGTTCCAGGTCAATTTTTGATCACAACTCATACAATTTTGTTTCATTATACTTACTTGTTGATACTTGTTTTATAACTCACATGATTGGACAGAGTCTTTTTAAAAACAAGAGATGTTCCTTTTATGGATAGGTTAATGTATATGTTATGTGTGTATATGTGTATGTATATGTTATGTTAATTTCGATTAGTTTCCCTGAAGGTGTACGTACCAGATGGCCAAGGTGAGGACAATGTCTGAACTAGCCTCTTTTTGGACACATAAATTAGGCTTCTTAATGCGGATGCCAACACCCTCAGCAATAATTAGTAATCGAACACTTAAGACGAAATTCAGCTTTGTTGGTATGCGGTAAATGACTGTGAAAACTGCCTCGTTAACATCACTGTTGTGTTGTGTATCCGTAAGATGAGATAGAACAACACTATGTGAATAGATTTTGTTTTTCCTTTACTTAACCACTGTGCAGGATGATGTTCGGAAATTCGAGGAAAAACACGTCTCATTCTATGCCCTATGTAGCTGGCTCCACAGGAGCAGTTAAGTTGGTTGATACACATAAGAGGCGAAATTAGACAGTTTTTCTTTCACTTCCGAACGCAAAATAGGGTATGGGAGGGGGTTGGTTTTGAAGACACAGCGTATTTCTATTGGTGTAGAGGTAGCCGACCAGCCAGCCAGCCAGCCAGTGCATGATGAGGAACTAATTGAGGTGAAGGAATGCGCCTATTTCTTCACTCGATCTGTGGTTTGTTTGTCTTTCTACAAGACGAAAGAGTTGTCCAGGTCTCTTGAAAGCTTTAACTGAAATCTCTTCCTGATGATTATTTTTCTAATTATTTTAATGCTTTTTTTCATATAACTTTAATGCCTCTTCAGCTCACTGTCTCATCGTTATTTTTTGTTTTAATTATTTCAGTTCTTTTAGTTCCATTTTATTATTTGCCTATATTATTGGCTTATGGGGGTGTTGAATGTCATATGAATTCAGTATGGTGTCCAACAGGCCTAACAGAAGGCAATATAACTCATCATTTTGGTGTAGATAATAATACAATGATGAATAGCCTGCATGCACAACTTCAGTATATTAATACATTTGACAAGAATTATTCATTTGTCAGCACAGAATTATTATTATTTACAATTAGTTGTGCTAGTATATTGGGTCGTTTATTTGCAGGTAATGATTTATTGACATTTATATATGTATATATTTTTTCAAGTATATTTTTTCTATGTTTGTGTATATCATTTACTGGTGTCTTTTTTAAGCAGATCTTGCTAGCTAGCTAGATAGATTGCTGTAGTTTACATTAAAGAGACAGTTTTATGATACTCGACCCTATTACATTGACCTCTTGCTAGCTTAGAAATAGGCAGGAGTGAAGTGGTTGGTGAGGCGTGTTGACCGCTTCACTTATATGAGAAGTTGCATCAGCCTAATGCCAGCTGGTTGATCACTGAAGAAATCTCTGAATGGATGCAGAAAACTCGTTCCGCATATACCAGTTTACGCCGTCTCTTACTCAGTAGACGTGTTATATTCGACTGGATATCCATCAAAGGGCGTGTGTCCTGTCCTGCAGCCGTCCGCTCCATCCTTCTTTACGGCTATGAAACCTTGTCATTAGCAGTGGAAGATTCGAAATAGTAGTGGATATATAATAGGGTGAGCAATATTGAGTTAAGGCTTTGTCGTGTATAAGGTAAGGAGGGAAATCAATAGACGAGGCTGTGTGAAGTTACATCGATTTAGGTGGTTAGGGCATGTCTTATGCGTGCCTAGCCTAGTTATCGCCTCCCTTGATGGCCAATGTTAACCATGATTGGATCAGGTTGGAGAAGAGTCAGATAGTTGTGGTCAAAAGAAAAATGGTCTCATCAATCATCGAAATCCATAACAGTTAGTTTAAGCCATATAGGAAGGTGTAGACTTCCTCACTGGTTGGGGGGGGGGGTCCTCGGGACTGTAAAAACCAATGATCGCTGGAGGCAATTGGTGACATGGCTAACTCAAAATCGGTAACAATGACTGTCGCAGATGCATCCACTCTTTGTGACTTATAATAACCAATAAAACTAAATGGTTCTTCAATATTACTATTCTTTTTTGCCTTATATGTCTGTTTACTGTCTCTATTTTGTTTTGTTTTTTTTTTCCTTTGCTTTGTGTGCTACATGGAGGGAGTGTGGCGACTCGAACTGCTGCATATCATATAATTAATGTCGTCTAGTTTAGTAGCCCATTCTCAGCCCTGTACAAATATGGTAGATTTAGTAAGTTTGACTAGGCTAGTGTTTACCGATTTTCCTTCTGTCGATGAAATTAAAAATTAAACATAGTGACAAGGAATGTCCTCACAGTATTAAATGGCTGATCAAACCTCCAAAGAAATCCGGAGATTCAGCCTACAACAGCTAGAAATCTGTGAGAGTAGATAGAATGTGAATGAGCTCTACGAATTATTGCTTGGAGAGTTAGTCATGTACTTCAGTTACCTAGAAGATAATCATAGATACACTAAAGAAGTTGTTATCATTGATGTCACCACCAACACATTGAAGACTCTTGTAACAACAGAAGACAATAGCCGGCAATAGATCGTTTTATTACGGAAATCAGCACGTATTTATACATATTTCATGTACATTATTATAGCTTATTCAAGTAGATGAACGCAGTCTTCTGATTGGTTGTTTCGGGTAACCTCGGAAAGTGGAGCCATCTATCTGCGAATCATATTTGCCCACGTTAAGTCTGCTATGATCGGTTGTTGAATCAGCCTTGTTCATATTTTCTCACGGCCAATATTAGTGACCGAGATATTGACGTAGATTAGTGTCTACTGATTGGCTAGCAGCCTGCTCTCATCACACTCTTATGCAACGGGAACCATTCTCTTCGACCTGACTTTTCTCTCTAAGGAACAGGGGAATGTAGGAACGAACCTATCATCAATCTTCCAGCCAACTATTCCGCCGAAGGAAATGAGACGGGTCATAGATACGCTGAATGATATTTGATGCAAGGCAGAGTGATGATTTGGGCTCGAATGATGAGTTGATCCGACTGGTCTGACTGGTATTTAGAGGAAATGCAAGCTTATGGGGGATCGTAGAGCTAGCTAGCTGAAGGGGTTAGCAGAGAACCAGATGAAATGAAGATGTCCGCTGCTGAAGCCGTATGTTTCAATCAGGACCCAAGGAAATAATAATATTATGTATCACTCACTTATTTTAACCTGTATTGATCTGTGTAAAATAACAATTTGGCTAACAGGTAGTGGGTGCCACAGCATGTTCAGTAAGTAATAAACCTCATTAATAATCTGGAGATCACTGACTCAAATGCTACTAATAACCTAAACTATCTGTCACTCTGAAACATACGTCATTAGTTGAATGAGTTATATTCACTTTTTATTCAATCTGGAATGTATTTCATTGGTTAATAAGTCAGTATTCATATTGTCATTGTTTCATTTAGAAAAGAAAGTCATATCAGTTGTATGAAGGCTAATGACACTAATTATTGCTGTTGGTATTCCTGTTCGACTTCATAACGTACTCAACTTGGGTGCCACAGTTTCTCTGTCTCTTCTGGTAATGATGAAGGTGTGGCTTATTGGCTTAAGTGTTCGAATTTACAGTCAATGTCTCAGGCTCCAACCCCTCTCGCTCCACCTTTATCACTTTGCGTAGTCACACGAGCCCTCATACAATACAATTTTGGCTCAAAGTCGGATACATGAGATGTTTGTGTCAGCTAACAGAGTCCCAGCATGGTTGTAAAACTGGTGATAATATACACCTTGTATTTCACATCAATCAGTCTACAGAAGCTGTGAAGCCAAAATTGGTGGTGATATCTTGATGTAGTTTCTCTGATTTATTATTAAGTTGGTATCAGTTGGCATTGATTACATATCACAACTATATAATCAAATGTATGAAAACAAACTCTGCAGCTATCCCGGGATGTTAACAGAGCTGTTAAACTTATTTGTCGCATTCCACCTAACAGCTATCAAATTTTACATATGACAGAGTCTGCTGGAATTCATTTGAAGAAGGCAAATCTGTATTTTCAACAGTATGTTTGTAAGCATTTGATTTGTTCCTGGTTCTATCACGGATTCATATTATTTTGACAACCATTGAAAAGTGCCAAGGTGTAGTGTTTCGTCAATCTACTTTGGAACTATTCAATGGTACACACTCACCAATGGGCTTTTAACCCATATTCTTCCAGTTTTAAGGCAAGCTCGTAGATTATTCACACACTGGAATCGAACTTTATGTCCAATTCATGAATCCTAACTATTTCCAACAATTCATAATTTTTTAACCCTACCAACTGGCATCAGCGAGTGTTACCGGCGAATATTTCCCCTTCACATGCCACCTGAACATCCCACTGGTCACGACTTCTCACTAGAGCTCTAGTCAACTTCTTCTTGAAGCCAGTCACCGTTTTTTTTTTTTTGGAGATTCGATTATTTTCAAGTATTTTGATTGTGGATTGATATAAGTTAGAGAAGTATTGAAAACCAGCATCGGAGTACTGGATAGGCTGTTTTGGCATAGTTTGAGACTTCTCAGCAATACTCGCTCACTCTTCGTCACTGGCAAGTGTTTACGCTCACATCTGATCTCTGGTAGTGTAACAACAGAAGACAAGGGCCAGGCAACAGATCGTTTTATTATGAAAATCAACACGTATTTATACATATTTCACACACATTAGTATAGCTTATGCAAGTAGACAAGCGCAGTCATCTGATTGGTTGTTTATCAGAAGTTAGGCAGACAAACGCAGGCTTCGGATTGGTTGTTTCGGGATTCCTCGACAAATAGAGTTCTCTATCTGCGAATCATATTTTGCCACGTTAACTTTGCTGTGATTGGTTGTTAAATCAGCCTTGCTCATATTTTTTCACGGCCTGCTCTCACCAGTAGAACTCTCTCGCCACACTGGTAGAAGTCACGGAATGACAGAAAAATACGAATTTATGAGCCATTTGATTCCATCTCACTAGTTTGATGATGATCAACGCGTACTCCCCTCGTTTGATTGGACAGCACTTAGAAACTAATGTAATGCTTTTTGGTGTTTTATTCATCGTAGACTGAATTCTATTAGTCAGCCAAGTTTGCAATATGGTCAACGTAAATCTAGGTGGCTAGCGATTATAGTGTACGTAGAATTTTTGATTTATTATAATTTATTATTATTATAGGTTTCGTGCTAGTTGGCTAGTTAGCGAGTTATTCGAGCTCGTGATTTACCTCCTCTAGGACTGTAATGGATACTTTTTGATTGAACACTAGTCAGTATCTGGTATAATGTGCCTAGTCCTTTGTCTTTGTTGCAGACCGGGTGACATGGGCTTGGACTTTTCAGGGAAGAAAATAAATTCCTTCCAGATTGCAAATACACTTTTTGCTGACTGGTAAGCTGCAACTGCCACGAAACTTTAGGTGTCAGGCAAAACTTCCTTTCGATTTCCTCCAATCATCTAATAATAATAATAATAATAATAATAATAATAATAATAATAATAATAATAATGGTATAGCTTTATTTAAGACAGTATGCTAGTATACGGTACAAAAATTTTCAGCATATTCAGTTCCAACGTACTTTTTTCTTCACACAGGATTTACATGTAAAGTAATAATCTGAAGTATATCTTCATTTCGTTGAAGAATTGTAGAGCGTTTACTTGGGAGAAAGTTAAATCATCGCGCAAGTTTATGTATAGGTCATTTGATATAACTGCAAGATTAAAACAACGATAAATCCAGATGAAATTAAGCATTTTGCAGGGAAAGTAATTTCGGTAGCTCAATAATTTAAGCAGGCCGCCAGTAGATATACATATATCTACTATCAAGCACTGCTTACGTCACCTGAAGGCGTTAGGTTAAATTCCCAAGGGGGTCATTGGTGTGTTCAGCTGATGAGTCCAAAACTAGTTGAAGGAAAATAACTCACTAATTTCTAATAGCTTCCCTCTCTGAAATTAATCAAACCCCTATAGTGATATTAATAATAATGTCCGCTTTTTATTCCAGAAACAGTACTAGTGGTACAGTGTGAAATTTTCAGCACATATCTACAATATTGCATCTAATTTCATCAAATATTTAAAAAGAGTATTTCAAAAAATAAATATA